TTAGGATCATTTATGTAAGGTATTGGAGTTTTCTCACAAGTCTCGATTTTATAGTTACGAAGTATCTTTGTAAGCCCAAGTTTAGACTGGAAAATAGCAAAACGAGCTCCTGAAAATAAAAAAAGCTCTTAAACATAAATGAGATCAAAATTCTTGATTAAAAATATTTTTCGATTGAAAATATGTTTAATATAGAAATTAAGGAATGAAAAGTGATATTTAAATTTATTTAACTTTACCAATGCAATTTCTTGGTCCATCTCCGAAAGGTAGGTAAGACATCGAGTGCCTGCTCTGCACAGCTTCATCATTAAATCTTTCTGGATCGAAGACATCTGGCTTTGGATAAATATTCGGATCTCGATGAATCGCGTAAATAGGAATCCATACTTTTTGGTCTTTCGGTATACTAACTTTAGTACCATCAAAAGTATAACTCGATGTGGATTGTCTCATAACAATTTGTCCTGGTGGATATTTCCGTAAAGTTTCTGCATTAAAAATAGTGTTGGATTATATATTTATTTATGCGCATTGAAGAATTATAATAATTTGATTAAAGTTTATTAGCATGAAATTATACTATAATATTCTTGAAAAAAGATAATAGAAAGAAACAAAAATAAAAAAGCATATTATTTCCTTATTCAATTATCTTTTCAAACGACGTACCTTTGAAAACCATATCTAAATAATTCATTTTTTTAATATTGTCATATACTAAATTTCCACCATGTTTTGCATAGACCTCGTCAATTTCTTCACGCAACTTGTCTTGTATTTCCTGATTTAATGCTAATTCATAAAGTACGTTACTAATAGTGGTTGACGAAGTTTCAAAACCAGCAAGGAAAAATACGAACGCTTGAGAAGCTAGTAAACTATCCGTTGGATCTAAAATATTATTTTCTTCTTATTATAAATAAATAATTTAATTTTCTAATAGATTAATTTATTACTTAAAAATTTATATACGGATTATGTCTTAAAATGCGGCCACTAATCATATAGAGCTATTCTTGATCAAAAATTAAATCGAAAATTTCTCTACTATTTTGCAATTTTCGCAATTTTTTTTAATTGCCTGAGCAGAATGTATGAAATCGGCACATAAGATAACTTTAAGATATCTTTAAGAACTTTCTTTAATCAACTGTAAGAGCTCGCTTTAATTCAATTTTAGGATATTTTTAACATCTTTAAGATATTCCGTAAACAGGAGAGATATTTTGAAGTAGTCTTATGTGTCGATTTTATCCACTTATTTCGCAATGTTTAGAAATTAATATTTTGTTAACTATTGCAAAAATTGCAGAATGGCTCAGGACTCAGCTTTTGAATAGCGCTATATATGATTAGTGGGCGTTTTTTCAAAGATATATCTTTGAGATCAAGTTTTATGACTCAAAAATTGCTTAATAAAAAAATATTTTATTAAAGAGTAAGTGTCCCTATTAATGTGCCTTTTAGCCAATTTGCTTATTACTGAATGAATTATTAAATACTGTAGCTTTAATTTGATCTGCTTGCAATCAATATTTTTCAACTACTTCTTTTTCTTATAATATTTCTTTAATCTAAAAAGTGCTAGTACTTTATAATGTTTTTAGGGACAAACATGTTTTTGTCCCTATTAATAAGTTCTCCAAGCGACGATGGCCCTATTAATGTGCTTTCAATTTGTGTGCCTATTGTGTGTCCGCATTTGACTCATTTTAACATATAGTTACTAAAACAAGCAATAAATTTAAGCTAATTGTTTAAGTTAATATTACATAAATTATTATTTCAATTATATTTATTTCAATATACATTCATAACACAACGTTCTCAACTCCAATACAGGACACTTTAACAAGGACAAGCTTAAAATCTTACGGTATGTATTATATTACTGGATTCACATAAATTC